TGCGTGATCCGAAGTAGTTGCCTATTTCATCTGCTGTTAGACCTATTTCGGTCAATAAACGTTGATGCGGAATCAGATGACCCGAAGCAGTCACTCCATGCTTGCAGTATTATCGGAGAACTGAAGCTCGAAAGGACAAGCGGTTCGGCTCCAGGATTCGGCAGTGGTTTTGTCTCGGCAGGGCAAGGTAAGTTTCGTCCGACCATTCTGTTTCCTTGCAATATTTTAGCTGTGTCATGGTCAAAAGCCGCTCAGATTTGGATGTGTGTTAGAACTTACCCACATGGAATCCGCATTCCGTTTTGCGTTGCCATGGCTACCGTGTTTTCCATTGTCTGAGGAGCTGATGATGGCCGCCGGAGCTTCGCCATAGTCGGTTTGGTGGAAGTGGCGTCGGTCTCCGGTGGCTAAACCTTAGAGAGAGCAAGAAAGGTCTTTTCTTATGGGAACTTTGAACTAGACCCTGACGGTCAATACATGTCATGAGCTAAAAGAAAATCTTGCAAAGCGTAGGGTGTGTTCATTTCACTAAAAGAACATTTCGTGAGTTAGTTCTTTCAGACTTTCACGTGTTTATTTCTTAGGAAATGGTTAGTTAATGGAAAAATATTTACAGCAAGAAAACCACACACTATAAATTAGTAAAATGAATCCCAGGTTTGGAATAGAGTTAATCATTTTCCTAAGTATAACAAGTCTCTTACCACAATGTTCTTCACTAAGATAGTATTTTTTGTGCTTTTCAGTATATCACTAAACAAATTAAAACTAATTATTTTTCTTGAAAATGATTTTGACATAAAGCATTTTCTTTTATGATGAAGTTCTGTAACAGTCTGAATTTTCGATCCTTTTCCCGGGATTCATGAAATGAATATTTTGGCCAATGCACTTATAGTGAGATCTCACCCGGAAATGCGCATTCTCGGGATGCTAACCTTAGGGGTAGGGCCGTTATGGGATTGAGTTTGCACGACCAAAGAACTCGACCTGGGTTCGATCTTCGACCATATGGATTGACGAGGGAATGTTTTGAGCCAACCGAGACCGGTCTACTTGATTGATCGTGTCCGAAGGGAACTAGTGACAGACCCTCGCAATTATATGACAACCGAGGTCATCCTAGGTAGAGTAAACTTAAACGTGATTTGACTTAGTGTCAGTCACGGGTCGAGAGCGCGTAATTCCAGAGAGCCACCCGTTAGCTAGAGATAAGCTAAAGTTGCGATTGCTCGATTTTAGTCATTTCTTGGAATTCGGGCCCAGGAATCGAGAATTTTGAAAGTGACAATTTTGGACGGCCGATGACGTTTTTGGCTTGGCCAACCTTGGAGCCAACCATTTCTGCAAAAAAATGGATTTCGGTTCGGGGCCGGGAAAATTACGGTTTTGCCCCTGTGGGCACCGAGGCTGGATTCGGAGGCCGTTTGAGGTTATTTTTCGCGGCCAAGGTCATTTTGGGGTGGCCACGCACATTCAGAGTGGTTTTGGCCAAAAATTGGAATTTCGACAAAAATTGGAAAAATAATATTATTTTATTCCCGAGACTTTGACGTGGATTTTCGAGGGCTTGTGCGATGAATTTCGCGATTCCGACGCCATATTATGTTGACCACGCATATATGGAACGCGTATGTGCAAAAATTGGAATTTCGGTTCGGGATCGGAAAATTACGAAAATGCCCCTAGGCCATTTTTAATTAATTCCGAAATTTGGATTTAATTTTGGGATTAACCAAGGTGAGTTAGGCTTAACTCAGGTCTGGTCAACCATGGTTAAGAGCAAATGACCATTCTACCCCTAAATTATTGGATGAGAAGGAAAGAAAGCCATTGGATCAAGGGCAAAATTGTCTAATGGGCTTAGATTGAGACACATGGATTCCACTCACACCAACTTTGACTCATTTGACCAGACTATTCTCTCTCTCTCGTGAAGACCATTCAGCCATTTTCCCCCAAAATTTTCTCTCTTTTCCCGTTTCTATTTCTGCAGATTACGTTTCTACTCAAATCGGTACTGTTCACGCCGGAACAGTACCAGCCGGAGCTGCTGGCCGCCCACCAGCCGTCGCCACAGCACCCTTGGACCTCCCTCTCACCTGTTCAGCCACCACAGCCCCGGTTTTTGTCCAAAACAGCCTTGTTTCTCTCTTTTTCTCTTTCCCGGTCTGCAAACAGTACCGCCGGACCTTCGCCGGAGCTCCGATCGCCGTTCCGTCGACACCCAGCCGTCCAGCCTCGCCGTACGTCGCCGTCCAGCACAGTCCGTACAGTGTCCGTACGGGTACTGTTCACCGTCCGTACGGATCACTGTTCACGCCGGACCGTCGGACGCCGCGGCTGTCACCGGCATCTCGCCGGCCACCGTCCCAGCCCCTGTCCGTACGGTGTCCGTACGAAAGTACTGTTCCCGTGCCGTACGGAATCACTGTTCGCGCCGTCCGTACATCGCCGGCGACGCGGCTCCGCTGCTGCCGCTGTCCCGGCCCGTTCCAGCCCCGTTCCGTCTCGCCTTTTTGGGTAAGTGTTTTCCCCAAATGTCATTTAGGACCTCGGGTATTTCTAGACTCGTTTGAAGTTCGGTTTAAGTGATTTTAGGGGACTGTTTGTGACTGTTTCGTGGCTGTCTTCGGGACTAAGTTAGGGGTTGAATGTTTGGAGGTTGTGGGCTATTGGGCGACGAAATTCGAGGTTTAGGAATGCTGAGTTAGGGCTGTGATGTCGAGGATCGATCGGGAATTAAATGGGTGATTAATTGGAAATGTATTGGCTTGATTGGGTTTATCGGATTAATTGTGTAGTTTGCTGTCATTGGCTTGTTCTAGTTTGTGCTTGGGCCGAATGTGATGTGGTGCTATGCCGTGTGTGTAGCCGTGAGGTGTGGTGGCGTGGACATGTGAATGTGCATTGAGTTCGTGTGCCGAGTGTGGGTGATCATGTGGTGTTCGTGAGATGAGAATGCGTGTTTGTGAAATGTACGTGAAATGTGAATTTGGTGCGTGGCTATGTATGTGTGAGGCGTGTATGTTTGGCCGTGCGTGTGCTGGTTGTGTGTAAGTGTGGTTTGAGTGGAACGAGGATATGGAAATGTGAGATTGATTGGAAAGGATCCGTCCTGAGGCGTGTACGTTTACGCGGGACGATGCCGTCCCTGACGAAGTGACGATGCCTGGCCTGACGAGGTGTCGATGCCTGACGTGGTCAGAAGACCGTTGGCCTGATGCGTTTTACGCGGGCGCGATAGAAGAAAAGTGTGTGTAGGATTCCGTCCTGAGGCGTGTACGTTTACGTGGGACGATGCCGTCCCTGACGAGGTGACGATGCCCGGCCCGACGGGGTGACGATGCCTGCCGAGGTCAGAAGACCGTTGGCCTGATGCGTTTTACGCGGGCGCGGTAGTGGTGGAAAGGTAGAAAATGAGTGGGATTTGGCAAGACAAGCGAGAGGATTGAGGAAAGTGACGCATGGTGTGAGTAGCGTGCGAGTGTGTTTGTATCGCGCGATGTGATGCTTAATTATGGGGTAGAAACTGCTAGGCACGGTATGGGACGTGCCCAAGTGGTTTCTGTCTTATAATTGAGGCACGCGCGCGTCTGTGATTCCTTGCTGTGATGTGTTGGCTGTGTTATTGTCTAACGTGCAGGAACGTGCGTGATGGATTCCAGGTAGGGTCGCATGTGATTGTTAGTTTGGCCGATCGTTGTGTGTTATGTGTGTTTTCGTCTGGCGGTACGTGAGTGCCTACGTGGGGTTTGGGGTTTTACACTTATTGAGATTCGTCTCACGGTTGTATAACCGCTACTCTCAGACCCCTGGCCCTAAACCCGGGAAGTGCGCCTTTTCTTTTTGGAAGTCCGGGGAGCTGCTGTTGGTGCCCAGTGGAGCTGCAGGTGAGTTCCAGAGATTCAAGCCAGAGATTCAGAAGCAGACTGGAGGAGGGCGATCCTTAGGTTTTTCCTTAAGATTTTTGGGGGTTGTGTAAATCAAGTTGACCCATAGGGAAGTTAAGTTAACAAGACCCTGATATTTTGTTGACGGTGATTTCGGATGCTAGTTGTTAATTATGCCTGTAATATGATGTATGTATATTTGGTGTTGTATGAATATGTGGTTGCTGGATTGTTCTGTTGTTCTACCCCGTTGTCGTCATTATTTGTCCGGGGTTTTGTTATTCGCTTCCGCATGTGGCTCTGATGTTTGGGTTGGGTCGGCGACGTTCCTGGGACGTCGCATCATTTCGACCGGAGCAGGGGATGTCGCGAGCTCGTTGGGGTTCGGGGCGTGACAAGTTCTACGTGAAACAAACAAACGAGCATGATATAGGAATTTCATGTAAAATTCCATAATATATGAAAGAAATAGCATCAAGCACGGAGTGACCCCCTCGGTTCGTCATTGTACATGTTCTTTTCCGTTTGTCTGAGTTGGATGTGTCGGTGGATATGCTTTTACTTTCCCCTTTATTAAATATATTTTGCAAAATGCTGAGGGAAAAAGATATTTATATTAGACATCCAGGCATACATTATAGAGAGCAATTACGATTAATGGGATTGCTCAATGTGGCAACTGGCAACACTCATCACTCAGTCTTTTATTTCAGCAGCCCCTTCTATTTATAGTGTTTTCCTCGACTCTGGCAGCGAGATCATTGCCCATCATAGCATCGCAAACTTACTGTGTTGGATGCCGAAGATATCACAATCAAGATGAAGGGAAAAGATGATTGCACAACTGACCATTTAGTCGGGATAGATGGTCAAGTGGAAGCCACAATGGACTTGTTGGACTATGACTTTGGTTGTGCACGGTGTCTTGGAATTCATGGCCCAAGCGGTATTGGAAAGACAACCCTTGCCAAGGCTCTCTTCGACAAGCTCATCTCTAACTTTGATCGGCATTGCTTCCTGTGAGATGTCCGTGGATCATCACGCCGTGATGGCCTAGCATTTCTGCAAAAGAAATTGCTATCGGACATCCTCAGTGAAACTAAGCCTATGGTCACCGTCAATGACGTTGATGATGGAATGAAGGTTATCAGGGAAAAACTCCATAATAAGAAGGTGCTAATTGTTTTAGATGATGTGGACCATAGGGAACAGCTTGAGAAACTAATTGGCAAGATCAGTTGGTTTGGTACAGGAAGTAGAGTCGTAATTACGACAAGAAACAAAAGTATCCTAGAGGGTGGAGAGAGAATCATACTTTATGAACTGAAAGAAATGAATTCTGATCAAGCACTTCAGCTTTATGTGAATCATGCATTCAAAAGAGAATCTCCTAGAGACGATTATTATGATGGGCTTTCAAGGGATATTGTTTCTACCATCGGAGGACTTCCTTTGGTCATTGAGGTCTTGGGTTCTTTTCTTAATTGGAAGCAAAAAACTATGTGGAAAGATACACTAGAAAGATTAAGGAGCATTGCTCATGAAGAGGTGCATCGAAAGTTGAAAATTATCTATGACACCTTAAATTGGAAGTAAAAGCAGATTTTTCTTGATATTGCATGTTTTTCCTTCCATGAGGAGGAGATTAATGCATCTTACATGTGGAAAATGCAACTTTTTTCCAAAAGTAGAAATTGAAGTCCTCAGTTCTCTGTCATTGATAAATATTACGAAGGATGGCAGGTTATGGATGCATGACTTGCTAAAAGACCTAGGACGCCAAATTGTCCATGAGGAAAACCTGGATCCGGGAAAGCAAAGCAGATTGTGGATTTCTGAGGAAGCTGTGGACATGATGTAAACAAGAGAGGTAATACATTAAGAGCACAAATTCTGTCTTTCTTTGCATAGAATTGGCTATTTGAGATGAAATTTCTACTATGTGAAGAAGAGAAATTGAAAGCTCTTTCTAATTGTGTACTTGGCAGAATAAAGGAATTACTGAAGCACTCAGTCTAGCTGGAGATCCTACTCTACTCATCTTTACTGATGAAGATTTCTCGAGGATGCCAAATCTAAGATTCCTTGAATAGATGGGGGCAGCTTTATTGGGGATTTTACCAACCTCTTTTCGAAGTTAAGATGGTTTTCTTGGTGCCATTGTCCTCCAGATTTAATTGCAACTAATCTGTTCCCACAAAACTTGGTTGTCCTCCAACTCTCCGAATTTAATGACGCCACTGATTGGGAGGGGTGGAACCAGATTAAGGTATGTGTGTTGTCATACACATTTCTTGCAGCTGTATTGTCTGACGACACTGTGTAATGATTTATTCTTGTCGCAGATGCTGCACAATTTAAAAGTTCTACAACTTACACGTCTAAACATGATAAGAATTGACTTGTCCGGGTGTTTTACTCTAGAAAGATTGATCATTAAATTATGTCGACAATTGGTTGACATTGATCGTTCCATTGGGGATCTAAAACGACTGGCTTACTTGAATATTGAGGGTTGCCACCGACTAAAAGATCTGCCTGACGACATTGGCCTGCTGGTGAACCTAAACCACTTATCTGAGTAATTGCTCACAGTTAAGGGAACTCCCGGGCTCGATGGGAAAGCTAAATTCGTTGATCAAGTTGGATCTATCCTTCACATCAATTGAAGGATTACCTTGTTCCGTCGGATATCTAGTGAATCTCAAGTCTTTGTCTCTTGCAGGATGCAGAGAGATTTGGGAACTTCCTGATTCGACTGGAAACCTGGAGTCTCTAATTGAATTGGATCTGTCGTCCACATGCATCAAAGTGTTACCTGATTCTATTGGAAATATAAAGACTTTGAATGTGATAAAGATGGAACGTTGCCGCCTAGCAGAGTTTCCATCAGCCATTGGGTTGGCAATGAAGCTTGAGGTGATAGATGCAAGAGGATATTCTACTATGGTGGGCGAAGTTTCAACTGAAATTGGGAAATTGTCCTTTTTGAGAATCTTAGATCTATCATACACTCGCATCCGTCGAGTGCCCGAAACAATTGCTGCGCTCCCTCAACTAGAAGAACTGATCCTCGAAAATTGTGATGAGCTGCAAGTGTCGCGTTCACTTCCCACAAGTTTGACTCATCTACTTGTTAGTTCTCGGTCCTTGCCTATTCCAGATCTCTCAAACCTGACAAATCTAGTTAATCTTCTCTTATCAAATGGCGAGGAATATCTATTGTCCCCTTCATCGAGCCCAACCGAAACCTATAACTTAGAGTGGATTGGGAAGTTATCCATGCAAGTTGGGAAATTTAGAGCTGTGCCTTCAGAACATCACCATGTCACTAACTGCACTGGGTTCCCTTTCTCGTCTAAGGAAACTTTGCATGGCTGGCCACCTATACCAAAAATTTTACATGGAGCCCCCTAAACCAGCAATGCAGGGAAATCTCAGCTCAATAACAACTTTCCCAGGTCTATCCAACTTGAGAAATCTAATGATTTTGAAGCTCTGTCACTCTCGGGAAGAGCAAATCCAACTCGGCGGGCTAAAGCAGTTGAGACATTTAACTGTCCGCAAATTTCGAGTCCTTCAAAGAATAATATTTTTCCCGTCAGGCCTGAAGGAACTAAAAGAATTGGAAATACATGAATGCCCGATGTTGAGAGAGATTCACGGTCTTGGGGCATTGGAAACATTGGAGAACCTGGAGATCAAGTCCTGTCTGTCAATTAGGAGTTTAAGTGATCTGTCAAGATTGCAAAAGCTGATGGAATTGAAAATCAAATTATGCGATAAGCTTCGGGATTTTGAAGGCCTTGATGAGTTAGGATGTTTGAGTCTCTTTGAAGTATATTTGTGCCCCCACTTGGAATATTGGACGAATGCATCAGACACAATGATACCAGATGACTGCCAAGTCTTAATTCAATGTTGTCGGAAACTAGGCGACACTCCTGAGCATGGCATGTTTTACAGGGATTATAGAGACAAGATTCTTGAACTGACCAAGTCTCATTCAGATACGCCCGCATCAGACAGTATGCACAAGGTGTGCTTCCTTCTTATTTTTCTTCATCATCATAAAGGAAGCTTAATTCAGGGACAGATCTAGAAGGAAACAGTTTGTTTTTTTTTGTGTTTGGGGGGTGGGGGGGGTGTGGAACCAAAAAGCTAATGAAATTGGACACAACATGTCAATTATTGCGCGATCAAGTATACAAAAGTTCGCAGTGGAATACCTTTTTGGACTGATTAAATTGTATAACAAAATAATATTGATGAAAGGAAAAGGAAAATTCATACTTGTAATTTGATTTGTCATTAGAATAGTTGTATATGCAAGATTTTGAACCATTTGCGCAAGAAAAGTATTTCTATGTATATAACAATTCCAACATCTTTTTATGTTAGGTAACTGTAATGATTAGAGGGAATTTTTGTTGCCTGTTTCGTTACTTGTTAATTGTTCTGCTTGGAAAACTGCTTATTCATACATATTGAGTAGATGAATTAGTAAGAGGCGGATCCATGGAGTCTTTACTTCTTAGACTTATTATCAAATCCATCCTCCACCAATAAGAAGCAGCGGAGTGAATAGTAATCTTTCGATCTGTTCATAGAGGGTCAAGACTCGTCAAGAGACGAGTTGTAGCTAATGCTATTTATAATATTGATTATCAGAGAATAGTTACATGTAAGCAACTGATGAAAAGTAAATAAATATCACATGCATCTAAATATTGGTAAATTTACTTTAGTGTATTAACATTTGCATGGCAAGTCGTTTAAAATCTTAGAATACATACTTTGACTCACAATTGCCTCAATTCAGACAAAGATCTATAGCAAACTATTCTCACAGGATGAAATAGACCTTTGGGTATCTTGAAGATAAAAGGAATTTGTGCGGGGGAAAGGCCAATTGGATTTGCACTATACATGACTAAAGATTAAATATTACATTTATCCGGGTATATTGAAGATAAGGAACTTATTAGGAAGGAAAAGGTTTATTGGCATTTGCAAAGTATCTAAGTAGAGATTATTTTTGCGCCTGGTCAATAGATGATTGAAGTGCTCTTTCTACGGACTCGTGTTTTCATTTGTCAATTGCCACCTTTAAGACCTTTAACATTGTGAAGCGAAATCTTACTGTTATGGATGCGAAAGCACCGCGTTTGGGGTGGCACGCATTAGATCACTGTTAAGAGAGGGATCTAGTTATATTTATTAGATTAGTTCCCCTCAGTCCGAGAGCTTGCACATGCATTTATGAAATTTTTTCAAATTTATGATTATATTTTGTGAGATTTTGTGGGACCACTGCTAACAGTTCTAAAAGTTTAAGCTGTTAGATGAAGGCGTGGTTTAATAATTAATTATTATAGTACTCTCCCTCACGCTTAGTATGGTCTTTTTGCCTAGTACTAAGTGGGGACATATTTAATTAGAGAGGCAAATTGAGCCTGGAAAGATTTGAACTCAGGGCCTTCAGCTGATACCATGTAAGATTTTGTGGGACCACTGCCGGCTGTTTAAAAAGTTTAAGCTATTAAATGAAGGCGTGATTTAATATTTAATTATTCTAACATATTTATTCTTCTAATATGGCTTTGAAATCCATCTCTAATGATATAGTAAGGTGAATACTTCATTCTTAAGTCATTTTTGCCACTTGGAATCTTATTTGGGGTGTAAGTGGAAAATTTGGCCAATCAAACAATTACAAAATAAGAAAAAGGTTAAACATAGATTTAGTCCTCTAAGTTTTAGCCTCTATGCACTTTGGTTCTCCAACTTCTATTTTATGTAATCAAGTTCTCCAATTATCTAGATTTGTGCAATTTGGTCCTCTAAGCTTTGTTTTGAGCAATCAAATCCTCTAAGCTTCTTGATTTATAAATTCAAGTGCATTGTTTATCCACTGTGACTAATATTGTCAAATTAATAGTTCCTTTTTCTTGTTTTTCTAGTTTGTTTTATGCCCATTTGGTGGCAAATTAGCATCACGTGTCATTTTCTATCACATAAGTAGTTCCACGTCATTAATTAATATAGCAGTTTAGTTAGAGTGATTGAATGAAGGATTTAATTGTACCAATGAAGAAAGTTAAGAGGATTTGATTGTACAAAGTACAATTTTGAGGACCAAATTGCATAAATCAGAAAGTTAGAGGATTTGATTGAACATGATAACAATTAGAGGACCAAATTGCACAAATGTTGAAACTTAAAGGACTAAATCTGCACTTACCCTATAAGAAAAAGACAAAAGACCAGTCAATTAAAAAATAAATGAGGGGAAATTAAAAGGAATTATTTATATATCTATCCAAACTATCAATACATATAAAATTAATAAGAAGAATTTTATCTCTATCTCAAATTTCAAGTAGAATCTCAATTGAATAAGACTTTCAGAAAAAAAAATTTGAATTTTAAAATAGTTAAACATACAATTAAATGATTCATTGAATTTTATAATAAAAAAATTAAATTTGAATTGCTTAAAGACTGATAAATCTGAAATTCAGGAATAATATTAAAATTAATTTACAATTTTTTTTAATAATCCGATTCCATCTTGTGGTGAAAAGTCGTCTTCGAGTCATCGCTTACTCAAATTTGAGCACACATATCTATACTATTATATAGAGTGAGAGGGCCTCTTACTTTTAAGCAATCCCAGTTATCTCTCCTAAAGTGTCCTCAATTAGTTATATCATAAATGTTCTGTCAAGGGACAAAACCATAAATTAATGATTTTATTTTATCTCAAGTATTTTAATTTTAAATTTTTTTTTCTATTTTTTTGTCTTTGAGTCTTTCTCTTTTTGTTCTTTTTTTTTTATTTGGTCAAATGTTTTTTCATCTTATCTCAACTGATCTAAGCGGTGTGATCACTTAAATGCATTTGTGTCAAGTGTCAAATGGAAATTTGTCTTTACTTTTTTTCTCATCTCCATCTTTGTGGCACTTTTTTTAATTTTGAAAACATATTAAGCGGTACTGAGTGTTAAAAAAACTGCATCTTTTATTTTTTACTTTGCTTTTTTCTTATTTTTTCTCCAGTTTATACTATTAATGTGTGTTTTCACATATTTTAGTAGACATTGCATGTAAACTTAATCTTTGTTAGACAAAATTTTTTTTTCTGAAAGTTTAAACTATTAAAAAGCGGATCAACAATGTATTTATAACGTATGATTTAACACTTCATCGTGTGTAAGCTAGTCCTTACACTTGTAAGACTCGTTGTGGGTAGCTACGTTAAGAGGATAACTGGCGAAATAGGAAAATTTACTGAAGATAGGAATAACAAGTAGGAGAAAATTGGCAAAAGAACTACTACAAGTGCCATAACTTGTGTACTGGCGCTCACTTTAGTGTCATAACTTTTTTTGGATCACTTTAGTGCTAAAATTTTGAAAAACGATCACTTAAGTGCTAAAATTTTTGAAAAACGATCACTTAAGTGCCAACTCCGGTGCCGTACACAATTTTTCGCCGGAAATCTGACGTGGCATTTTTTTATTAATTTCTGGGCGACGTGGCTCGCCGAGTCTCGCCGGAGATTGGCACTTAAGTGATCGTTTTCAA